GTTTTAATGTATCTTACCATTTTGCTGGCCTGGCATGGTTTAGTGGTTAAGGTGCTCGACTTGCAATTTGCGGGTTTGAATCCCCGTCACCGAACATGCTCGCCATTTCAGCTGTAAGGGCGTCATAATGTGACGCTCAATCCTACTATTCATGGGTAAAAGATTATCCCAAGAGTTGGCGGCGGTGGTGTTAACTAGCTACCTTTCCTCTAGTCTATCACTGCTAAATTAGGGACGGCCAACGCAGATAGCCCTCGTGTAGCTTTGCGCAAGATACAAAACAAACCAAGCCATTTTGCTACACAACTATAATAGCTATTTTCATTGTTTGTCTTTTTTGTTTCGACCATTTAGAATAATTTAATTTGATATATTTTTACTAATGGACATTTTGGTCCATAATGGTCAAGCCGTTTTATCCATTATTACTGACATTATAATGTGATACATTGACTACAAATGTCTATTTCATTCGCAATCACTTATTTGATTTTTTTAACTGCTCAGTTTGATTATTTTGCATTCATTATCAAATGTTTTGTTTCTCTTTGGATAATTACAGTTAATTCAGCCCATTTTTCCCAATGTATCTCAAGTTTCCCAATTTGTAAGTTGTACCTTATGTCATTTGATCTTGAATTTTGTAAATAAGTTGCAAATCTTATATAACTTTTGTGCAAGATTACTGGTTAACGTGTAGAACATTTCTGACAATATCGACTTTTTTGTTTGTTTTGTTTTGAATTTCGCGCAAAGCTACACTAGAGCTATCTGCGCTAGCCATCCCTATTATACCAGTGTAAGACTAGAGGGAAGGCAGCTAGTTGTCACCACCCACCGCCAACTCTTGGGCTACTCTTTTACCAACGAATAGTGGGATTGGCCGTCACATTATAACGCCCCCACGGCTGAAAGGGCTCATGTTTGGTGGGACGGGGATTCGTGCGCTCTAACCACCTTGCTATGCCGGGCCCCAACTTTTTTGTAATGCTATTTACATTAAATATGCTTCAAATTCCTTTCATATCATATATTGGGCTATTAAATGTTGGACACTTTTTAATTTGCTGTTATAATAAAAATCGTAATCTATAAATAATGACTTATAAAATTAAAATCCTTAATTTCAATTGAAGTGAACACTGAAGTAGATATTGTAAATTGGATAGGTACCAAAAATTCATGCCCCATATGACACAGTAATAAGTTTCAAAACCTTTCAAGTTAAAACGTCATCTGAAAGCATTATCTCTGATGGATCCATATCAATACAAACGGTACACAGGTGTTAGGCTGCTTTTTTAATACTGACAGGTTCCTTGCCTCTCCGAATGTTACTGTTCACTATTGCAAATATTCGTGACGTTATTCTAGCACCTATAACTTCTAATTTTAAATTAACAATCTTTTGAGAAAATTCTGAAACGTTGAGCAGTAAGATTCGCAAACTGTCTCATATTATGCTCCATTATTTTTCTATAGAGGTAGCACCTCCGACAAGATGACGTTAGCACCTGGACAATTTACTTATAACCAATGGCTAGTAGGCTCTGCACTTACTATATACATTATATAAACACATACATACATTTTATAGCATCTGACTGTGTACTCAGTAAAGTATGAAATAGCAGAGACTGAAATAAAAAAAATTGAAATTCAAATGAGATAATATTTTAACAGATTTAAATTTCATATAAAAAGTAAGAGCTTCAGGCAACAATAAACCGTAAAATATACAATAATTGGTTTTGTTGCATTTCGCACAAAGCTACTCGAGAGCTATTTGTACTAACTGTCTCTAATTTAGAAATAATAGACTATCTAGTCAACATCACCCACTGTCAATAATAGAATTAAACTGATAGGTCCCCATGAGTAAAAGAGCAATTATGTTCGGTGACCCACAGATTGAGAGTCAGCGTCCTAGCTCGATGATACAATAACTGACAAGGAATATGTGGTTACTTAATAAAATAGCAAGTGATACCTTTATATGAATATTAACACACGAGAGCACATTTCAATAACGTAGTTCAATACACGCTGGCAGACCACCCCCATAAGAGAACCCACTCAACATCGTAACTCCCAATAACATGAAAGTGTTGATTGTTTATGGACGGGCGGGGTAGTCATACTACTATTTAACTTAAGATAAACAACATTGTTTAGTTATAACAGAAGGAGACACAGTTAAATGTTTCGGAATTCTATAGATCCCATAAGCAAAATAAAAGAATGACACCATTCCTAAGTAAATAACTAAAATACATCGCTGCACTAGCGATAATTTACTTAAAACTAAAACATATAGAAAGTGAAAAGGTAGCAAACAAAAATACTGTAATGGTTGGAGACGGCTTGAATGGGTAATGAAGAAAAACTTTAATATAATTACCCATTCAAGCCGTCTCCAACCATTACAGTATTTAACATAACAGCAAATGTACAACGTTTCGACAAAGTTTTGTACATTTGCTGTTATGTTAAACTTATATTAAAGTTTTTCTTCATTACCCATTCAAGTCGTTTCCAATCATTATTAGTCTCATAGTGGGTTCCTCGTCATCGAATTTGAAAAATACTGTATTTATTTTAAAATGTGCAAGTTAAAAGAAGATTGCATATTATTTAGTGTTGGTGAAAATTATTTGATGTGAAAAGTTTCTTTAATCAGTAATTCCAGATCAGTGTTGGCCTTGCAAAAGATATTGAAATTTGATAAGTGTTCATGTCCTGCATCTTCACTATTTAGGTGTATAAAAAAACATAGGGATTACTCAACTTTTTCGGTGTGTTTTCATGGAAATTCCTATATGTTCATTAGCTCTAACTAGTAGATGGCGTTTGATTTTGCCAATATAGGAGGTCTTTCAGTCTCCACATGTGTAAAGATATACAAGACACGAATAAAGGGAAATTGTGAGAAGGTTTTTTACTACGGAAAAAATCCTATATGCGTGGTGTGGATTTAAAAATTGATATTTTATATGGTCTTCCTAAAACTCACAAAGCAGGCACCCCCTCCGACCAATTCTTTCAGCCTTAGGCACCATACTTACAAACTTGCGAAATTTCTGATACCTATACTACAACCATTCACTATTTCTGAATCTTTCAAGTTTGCACGTGAATTAAGTAAACTATCCCCCTCCAAAACCCACTTTATGACTGGCTTTGATATTATCTCCCTCTTTTCAAATATACCTTTAAATGAAACCACTGATATTTGCATATCTGAACTTTCATGTAATAATATTTCGTTGAATGGCTTTACTGAACCTCAAATTAAGACTATGTTGAACCTTACAACCAAGAATTCATATTTCCTATTCAACAACACTCATTGAACAAACAGATGGCGTAGCGATGGGCTCCCCGCTGGGCCCAAAACTAGCTAATATATTTCGCTCGTATCATGAACAGAAATGGTTCGACACCTGCCCCGCTGACTTCAGATCTATCCTTTACAAAAGGTATGTAGTTGACACTTTTGTTATTTTTCACAATAAGGATCAATGCTCAAAATTTGTAGAATACCCGAACTCACAACATCCTGCCATTAAATTTACTTGCGAGGTTGAAAATAATAATAATTTACTTTTTTTAGGCATCCTGATTAAACGTAACACTAGTATAACTTCATAACTAATGTCTTGAGCAAATTTCCTGTTTTCTAGAAGACCTATCTAATATATCTCTCTAAAGCTTATTAAACTTAACCTGGATATACCATAAAGTGAATAGGTGGAGGAAAATGTTGGTGCCAAATACTAAAGAATATTGCTATTGTATAGCTTGCTATAAACTGCTAAAGTGTGTACTGGCCTTTACTTGAATTAATGTATTATTAAGTTTTAAAGGGCATTTAGTTCAAAAAATGGTATTTTGACAGCTGGAAGGACTTGTGACCCAGAAGGAGAGTCAGACATTAAAGAGACGTGGTTGTCAAAAGAAAGTTGATCTATGAGAAATCCTTTCCTAATCATTGGACTTTTCCTAATAATGCAATGGCCCCTGACTTCAAATCCATTGTGACCTACGAACCAGGAAGGACAACCGCTGACGTCTGGAGCACTGAAATCTGTTTATCAAGATCTTCCCTTGAGAATTGACCTTGGTGTGAGGGAAGCACAGATGGGGGAAGCATAGTGATCTACTGTCTGGTGACTCTGAAACTGGGTAGGGCAGTCTGTATTGAACTCTCAGTCTTATGCCAGCCAGAGTAAATGAATCTCAGCTCTTGTCAGTTTTTTTTTTTTTTGGAGTTAAGCACAAAGCTACACAATGGGCTATCTGTGCTCTGCCCACCACGGGTCTCGAAACTCTGGTTCTAGCGTTGTAAGTCCACAGGCATTCCGCTGTGCCATTGTGCTTCATTTGTAAGCACCTTTAGTAGTTTGAAAGTTTCGGAATTATAAATATTCCATAAAATATAACTAAAAGGAAAATCTTCAATCTAGTGAATCAACATTAAAATCCAACGAACTTGTGTTAGAAAATAAAAAATATTCATCTAAAAAAGCTGTTTGAATATACCAAAGGAAAAAGAGTTGGAATTTTGTTAAGGTTTGGGTTTTCGTTTATAATATGTAAACTTTCTTTTATCAAAAGCTCCTAATCATTACAGTCATAAGTTATGATTTGAAACCACCTATGAACACACGAGAGTTTTTAACAGAACTAGTTAGGTTCTGAACTTCGCTTAATTATCCTATACATTCTCGCAGAAAAACGTCATGATACTTCATTTTTTCCCAAACTGTGGTTTTCAATAATCAGCTATTTACATATCTTTAAAAAACAAATTTCAATTGAAAACTTGATGAAAATTGGTTTTTATTATACAATTGATCGTTGACAAATAATTTCAAAGCAATCAAATATTTCGAAATTAACCATTTTATCATACTTTTTGCCACTAATTCCAGCAACGCTACAGGAAATGACGTATTTAAAGCATTTAGGAAGTGAAGGCGTATAAATATTTAGAAGTAAATCATATTTGAATAGTTTATTCTGTTTAATTCGTTTGAATAAAAACAAAGTAAAATCATAAAACAACTAGCTTTACAAAATTATAGTTACATCTTTAAAGTCGTCAAGGAATTAAAAAAGTAATTTATTTGTGGTGTAATTTTGTAAGTATTATCTCACCCGGATTTAGATGGTTTGGGTAAATAACTGTGTGAAGAATTTGTATTTGGCTTAAGTTTAGGTGGCTGGGTAGTTGTAGGAGGCGTGACAGTGGAGTGTGGAATATTTCAGTACGTGGAAATTGTTGAAGAGTGAAATCTTCTACTTTTGAAAATGTCAAATAAATCTGAAAGGGAAAGACAAAAGCAAATACAAGAAAAATGCCAAACAATATTAGCCCAACTTCTTCGTGAAGAAGATAATAAGTACTGTGTTGACTGTGATGCAAAAGGTAAACTATGAATATATATAGGCCTAGGCGAAATCATATCATATTCATATGGTTTATAATAATATTAATAATTTATATATCTTTAAAAATTGACAGTATTGTTATGGAAATGTAACTATTATTAGTCAGTGTCAGTTTTGAAATTATAGTTAGGCTTTACAAATAACATTTATATGGGCTAAAAAAATTAATAATGACATTAAATTATTAAGTTAATATATTAATAATAATACTAATAGTAATACTAATACTCACTAACTTTTAATGAGCTTTGGGATTTGATTGAACTTTTATAGTAACTCAAATTCATTTTTGTACGATTTTTTTATTATAATTTAAGAAGATAAGCTAAATCAAGAACAATATATGAAGAAAAATTTAGCTTGGACTTGTTTCCTCCAGTTCCTAAAAAAATGAGAATATGCTTAATTCAGGTGTTCAGCATTGTTAGGTCATTGACAACTTATTTTCTTTGTTTATATGGTTACCAAACATCACAGTGTTTAGCCTTGTGTTATTTTCCCTGATCACAAAGAGTAAAAGTGTTGAATTATCCCAGTTTCTCCGTACCTCACCTCAATTTGAGTTTGGCATGCACAGTTTACCATTATACATGGCTCCTTAATTGCACACTTTCCCACTTGGAAAAATACACATTTATCTCCATTGTTTTACTTTCTACAACTAAACCAATTTTGTGTTTACTTCTGTAATTTTCCCATTAATACCTAACACTTAAACATTCTTAATTAATTTTTTGTGATGCTTTACCAGAATCTTGTATAAAGTGACAAAAACTTTATCTTAAATTCAAAATTCTCAAACAGTTATAAACAGAACCCAAATCTCTGCTTTATTGATCACAGCTAACTACTTAGCAGAACTTTTTAGCATGTTATCAACAAACATGCATCATTATTTCTAAAACTGATATATAAGTATTTTCTGAATCTTTGACCCTTTTGGGAACATCCTTAAAAAAAGGAAACCCAGAACAACAGTATCATTCATTTAACTATCCATTTCAAAAAATTTGCAAAGTATTTCAGAACTTTATAGAAATAGAGAAAAGCCTACATGTAAGAATAATTCTGTCTTTCTGAAGTTTTTATTTTATTAGTTACCTCTGCTCATCAGTTCATTGTTAACAAGTTAATAGACCAAAAATAAATAATTCAAATAAGTTACTAATTAAAAACAAATGTGTTTATGCTCTTAAAATAACAACAGACGATATAGGTAGGGAACCTACTCTTTGCAAAAGAAAAAAAAGGAAAATTAATTAAAGTTGAATTAGAACATTGTTATTTCTAAAAAGAACAGTAAGTGTGGTTTAACATCATAATATAATAGTATAGGTTTTCTAACATATTTTCTTACTACAAAGGAATTTAATGAGTTCAAGTGTGTATTAATTGATTTTTATTTGATTCTAAAAAAATTCAAAGGAAATGGAATTTTGATATCAATACACATATCATTTATATAAGGAGGTGACAGAGGGCCACTTGGGCATTCAAGTTCACTTTTCCTCATATCAAAACAAACAAAGCATCAAAACAGAACCATAAGTAGCTATTGATACACTTATCCAAAAATATATTTAAATTATCTTAAAAACATACATATAAAAGCATAAGGCAAAACATTCCACAAGTTTTTAACTTTAACAAAAAATTGGCTCCTGAAGAACAAATTGCAATCTATAAACTTGTAGCATTAATTATTACTCCGTAAGCTCAAGTTTTCCATATCTCTTAACAATTGTGAATACTAAATCAACCTACTTCTGTTTTTTTTTATATTCAAGAGTAAATTGTGAATACTAAATCAACCTAGTTCTGTTTTTTATTTATATTCAAAAGTAAATAATTTTAATTTTTAGACTTTATATGTACTTCATTACTCAAATTTTTTTGAAACCAAAAACCATTCTGTTGCATGTCTGCACTCATCTCGGCAACTGATATCTTTACTGTATATGTAGTAAGGGGTCTAAAACTGTAGACTGTATTCTATTAAGGATTACCAGAATATTTTAACAGGTTAAAATATCCATTTTACTTTTCAAATAATCCTACAATTCTCTTTGCTCTTAGTTAAATAGCTAAAAGTTTGAAGCTTTATCAAAGTGCTTTTATGTAAATAATTTTCTTTTTCCTAATAGTATTGATAGTCCTGTAAAAAGTCTGTATACAGTGTTAGGTAAGATAAAATATAAAGCTTTGATCAAAAAAAAATTCTGATATGCATCTAATAGGCTCTAAAGGTAATGCAACTGAAATTGAAAACTATAAGATGAAAAAATTATTTTTAAATTCACAGATAAATCTTGTAATGTTTACTAAAAGCTTGCAAAATTTTTTGAAGATACAATTACTACATTAAGTTACAGTGTGTATAGTCTCATGGATAAAGTCATTCAAAATGGCCTACCTTTGGTCCTACTTAATGTTAAAGGGTTAAATACTAATAGTGTTTGTTTGTTTTGGAATTCTGCGCAAAGCTACACGGGGGCTATCTGCGCTAGCCATCCCTAATTTAGCAGTGTAAGACTAGAGGGAAGGCAGCTAGTCATCACCACCCACCGCCAACTCTTGGGCTACTCTTTTACCAACGAATAGTGGGATTGACCGTCACATTATAATGCCCCCACAGCTGAAAGGGCGAGCATGTTTGGTGGGATGCGGATTCGAACCCACGACCCTCAGATTGTGAGTCGAGCGCCTTATCCACCTGGCCATGCCGGGCACACTAATAGTGTTATAAATTACCTATGTTTGTTGCTAAAGAAAACTAATAAAGAAAATTATGTTTTATACAGTATGAACACGACATTTTTAACAATTAGCCACAAAAATTGATATTTTTGTTATTTAGAAAAAAGGAAAGTGATGTACTTTGGATGGAAAATTTTTAAAACTTTCTTCTTGGTTTTTTGACCAATGTTTTAAACACTGTTTAACAAAAAATGAAATTTAAATCAACCTTTTTTTTCTAGAATGACTATACATTGTAACAGGTAATCACACATTACTTATCTTTCAATCCAAAGCTAATAGATCTTTCATTTAGTTTTATTTCTTTATAGTTACATTTAGACTCCCAGAGTAAGGCAATGCAATAGCTATATATTACACTTGATAGCTTTGTGTAAACATCAGATCCAGTTACCAGCATGCTCATATCAAATTACACAAGGGAGCTTGTGCTTGGCAGTGCTGTTATTGATGAGTGTATTTTGTTTATTTAATTTCATATAAGTTTCCTTATCTAACCTAATAAGTTTCTGATTCTTATGTTTTAGTTACTTGTACAACAATAAATATAAAAATACAAGAATGTTAGTTGTTACATCTGAAATCTTTTCTTTTGCAAACTTTTGCACTTTTATGATAGAAGTTGATGTTATAGATAAGCCCGTGTTCTTAATAATAATAATATGGTGTCACACATTTGAATATAAAAAAATCCTAACTTAGAATATGAATTATTGACACACTTGTAGAAATATAATGTTTTAAAATTAATGTAATTGATCTGGCTTTCTAACTAAGCTAGAAATGGCTTAAATAATTTTCATACATGGTAAAACAGAGTTCCAGTAATGGAAAACAAAGAAAATTGTACCAAAATGTTCAATTCTGCTTATTCCAATGGCTTTTGGCCCCTTAGCTCAGTAAATTGAAATATTTGCTTTCTGTTTGTTATAAATAATCCAATATCAAATCTCACAAGTTTATGACAATTTTTGGAACCAATATTCTTTAAGGGGTGTGGCATATGACTTTCACATTAATGTTTATATCTCTGTAAAGCAAAAACCTTTGTTGGTACAAGTTCACAGTTTACTTGGGGATATGTATAGTACAAATGTGAAATCCCACAGAAAGATCATGTAGAGGTAAAATAAAATCAAAAATGACCTATATAGATTGAAGTGTCATGAAACAGACAAGTGAAGATCAAGAATTTATTCAAATATTTCCTTTTTAAATTAAGAAGTTAAAACTTATATTAAAATTTTAATTATAATTTTAATTTTTAATTAATTTTGAAGGTATCTTTGTAAAGAGGTTATGACATGTGCACTTTGACCCACTTGTGCTCATAAGTTTAACAAAAAATCAAATCATAATACTGTTTTGAAGAACACCACTACAGACATTCCACGAACTTGTAAAAACTACTGATTTATTTCCACTCTAACATTCATAAACATGACAATTTTCAACTAATTTTTTAACATTTCCCCCAATTCTATGAGTTACAGTTACATGGGATAAATTTCTGTGCAGTTATGGTAAAATAAAATAAAATTTGCAAGGGTGTCTTCAGCTACAAAGAAATCATGGTATCATCGAAAAAGATATGACCTCTGTTATAAAAGTTGATTATAAAGAAAGTTTCACATTTCAGCATACTATCTCACAAATGGTGTTGCATAGGAAAGTGAATTTGCACAGGGGTATTAAGGGTATCATGGATGGAAATGCTCTTTGTTACATGTTACCACTGTGGTTTATTTTGTATATTTCCCATCCATATAAATCAGCCTGTGAATTATAAGGCAGCTCATTCAACCAATGTGAAATGAAACTGACAAGTGGGCAGAGAGTTAAATGTTGTTACAACAAATTATTATTTTCCATTGCAGCCCTTGGAGAATACCATTCATAGAAAACCTTGAAGTTTATAAAAACACACAAGGTAACAGGTTGTATTTGTGATAAACCACGTACTGTCAAAACATTGACACCTACTGAAACTATTGCTGAGGTCAGCTGTGCCATAGCAGAAGAAAGCAGTACTAGAGCACATGGGTGAAGCAGTGTACATTGTCTCTTGATTTCTGGATTTACCAGTTTCAACTGTTTGTAATGCTTTTCAGTCAACTCTCTCATCCTCTTTGCCCCCCAGTGGCTCAGCAGTAAGTCTGCAGGCTTGTGATGCTAAAAGTAGGGTTTTGCTAACTGTGGTGGGCAGAGCACAGCCCACTATTGTAGCTTTGTTCTTAGCATCAACCAAACTGCCCCCCCCCCCCATGTTCACCTCACCCTTTCTGGTCAGAAATTAAATCACATGTAACATTTTTTACACACCTCCATGATCCTAAGGTAACAGTGTGGTATGGTTTCACAACTAATTTTGTTATTGGACTGTACTCATTTTGAAGAACAATCAACACGTGGATTGTAAACCTGCACAGTCAGTGCTGCATGGTAACATTCAGTGCTGAAAACCAATATGATTCCCATGTTGCAGCAACAAAATGTGATAGACACTATAGTTTTCTTACAGGATTATGCCTCTCTCTCTCTCTCTCTCTATATATATATATATATATATATATATATATATATAGTAGAACAGATAGTATACACTACTCTTACGTCGAGGAGTACGTACGTTTACGGTACGTAAGTAATACTATTACTATTCTACTTCCTTTCCTTTCGT